TTTTGTCGGTTTAAACATAACAATTAATGTTCATTTAAGTCTTTTATAAGATCCTTTCTTTTCGTTTTTAATGCGATTACAACTTTTCCGATTATAGATGATAGGCATTAAATGGATTATTGGTTCGCCGCAGTGTAATGATGCTATAAGCGTTGCATCAGTGAATGGTTATATTTTCAAAAGACAGGCGGATGAATGTAATGCTGATAATAATTTGTCAACGCATTATGAAGTTGAATGTAGATTTAGCACTGTATTAATCCATACCGTAGTAGGCCTAGACATTTTTGTAAAGTACGGTAACAGGAACAACTGAAAAATGGTGTATGTAAAACATAATGGGTAAAAAATGCCCATGCTTGTTATATTTTGGCTTTATTGATTTAAAAAAGTACGTATCAATACAGTATATTTACTTTTTCTTATTATTATTATTATTATTATTATTATTATTATTATTATTATTATTATTATTATTATTATTATTATTATTATTATTATTATTATTATTATTGTTATTATAGCATAATATTGTCACCATTATCACTATTGTATAACAAAAATATTTTGTATTGTTAAAAGAAAAGCAAACCATAAACTAATTAATTACTAAGTTGCTTTTAATTCTCTTTCTATAAATAGATTTTTTTTAATGGGCCAAATCGAACAATATCTGTTTTGCTATAATTTTCAATCATAGAAAGGCTGGTTTCATGAAATAAATATGTTTAAACGAAAAATTAGTATAATAACATGACATTATTATGTATATTTGCTGAAATATCGCTCACTCACTAGAAAGAAAATGATGCGAAAATCAACTTCTATTTACTTCTACGAAAACTTTGCTTAAATCACTACTGTGTCACATTTTCAAGGGTACCAAGTCTGCCGCAATCAGTACGACTCCCGCACTCAAACATCAACCTTCGGTGTGCTATTTAGATGAAACAGCACCAAAGTATCTGTTGCTTAAAATAAGTTGTTTCCATAAAAGGTGTATAATACACATGGTATGACAATATTAGCATGGTAATTTAACTTGGCAATATGGTATAGTATAACAATTTATCCAAAACATGGATACCAATTTCAATAAAAAGTTGATTCCGCCCGGGGTCGAGCCAGGGACCTTCTGCGCGTTAGGCTACACTACGGAATATTGAATTGAATTTGTATTTATACAGTTAAAAATTAAAAATATTAATGGATTATTAAAATAACAATAAGCCGGATAGCTCCCTTGTGTTATGCTGATAAAGTAACAGTAACAACAGTAACAGTAATTATCTGTTGCTTAAAAATAGTTGTTTCCATTGAAAATGATGATACCATGATACAGTAAAAGGTTTCTGAAATATTATAACTAACATGGATATCAATTTAACTAAAAGAACAAACAAATCTAATTTCTCCCGGGCTAGAACCGGGGGCCTTTTGCGTGTTAGGCAGATGTGATAACCGCTATACTTCGGAATCTGTTGGTAGGAGACAGTATTTATCCTAAATTTGTAAAAACAGTAATGGATTATTAAATAGATAACTAACATGGATACCAATTCCAATAAAAAGAAAGCGATTCCCCCGGGCTCGAACCGGGGACCTTCTGCGTGTTAGGAAAATGCGTTAACCGCTACACTACGAAATCAGTTGCTTGTTGAAGGAGTTAGTAGTTTTTCAGTCGAAATTTCTAAAACAGTAATAACTCATCAGCAAGCAACAGATTCCGTAGTGTAGCGGTTATCACATCTGCCTAACACGCAGAAGGCCCCGGTTCGAGCCCGGCCGGAATCACTTATTTTTTTAAATGAAATTGGTATCTATAGGCCTAGTAATATTTCAGAAACCACTTCCAAACGTTGAATGTACATCTTATTTTAAGGAACAGATATATTTTGGTGCTACTGTTATTTCATATGCTATAATACACGGGAGGTACCCGGTAATTTTAATAATCCATTACTGTTTTAGAAATTTCGACTGGAAAAATACTAACTTCTACAACAAGCAACAGATTCCGTAGTGTACGTTATCACATCTTACCGTTTAAGAAATTTTAACTGGATATACTTATCCTACCAGTGACCGATTCCGTAGTGTAGCGGTTATCACATCTTCCTAACACGCAGAAGGTCCCCTGTTCGAGGCCGGGTGGAATCACTTTCTTTTTATTGGAATTGCTATCCATGTTCTATTAGGCTTAGGTCCATGGGCTTAGTAAGTATTTTAGAAACCACTTCAAAACGTTCAGTGGACAACTTATTTTAAGCAACAGATATATTTTTGTGTTACACCAAAATATTACTTTTGGTTAAAATAAGTTGTCCAATGAAAGTTTTGAAGTGGTTTCTGAAATACTTACGAAGCCTAATAGAACATGGATACCAATAAAAAGAAAGTGATTCCGCCCGGGCTCGAACCGGAGACCTTCTGTGTGTTAGGCAGATGTGATAACCGCTACACTACGGAATCTGTTGCTTGCTGATAAGTTAGTATTTTTCCAGTCGAAATTTCTAAAACAGTAATGGATTATTAAACTAACAATAGGCCGCCGGGTACCTCGCGTGTATAATATTAGCATATGAAATAACAGTAACACCAAAATATATCTGTTGCTTAAAATAAGTTGTCCACTGAACGTTTTGAAGTGGTTTCTAAAATACTTACTTGGCCAAATAGAACATGGATAAGAATTCCAATAAAAAGAAAGCGATTCCGCCCGGGCTCGAACCGGGGACCTTCTGCGCGTTAGGCAGATGTGATAACCGCTACACTACGGAATCTGTTGCTTGCTGATGAGTTAGTATTTTTCCAGTCGAAATTTCTAAAACAGTAATGCATTATTAAAATAACAATAGGCCGGGTACATCGCTTGTATAATATTAGCATATGAAATAACAGTAACACCAAAATATTACTTTTGGTTAAAATAAGTTGTCCATTGAAAGTTTTGAAGTGGTTTCTGAAATACTTGCTAGGCCAAATAGAACATGGATAAGAATTCCAATAAAAAGAAAGTGATTCCGCCCGGGCTCGAACCGGGGGCATTCTGCGTGTTAGGCAGATGTGATAACCGTTACACTACGGAATCTGTTGCTTGCTGTATGAGTTAGTATTTTTCCAGTCGAAATTTCTAAAACAGTAATGGATTATTAAAATAACAATAGGCCGCCGGGTACCTCGCGTGTATAATATTAGCATATGAAATAACAGTAACACCAAAACATTACTGTTGGTTAAAATAAGTTTTCCATTAAACGTTTTGAAGTGGTTTCTAAAATACTTACTAGGCCTAATAGTACATGGATACCAATAAAAAGATAGTGATTCCGCCCGGGCTCGAACCGGAGACCTTCTGCGTGTTAGGCAGATGTGATAACCTCACACTACGGAATCAGTTGCTTGTTGAAGGAGTTAGTAATACTCCAGTCGAAATTTCTAAAACGGTAATGGATTATTAAAATAACAATAGGCCACCGGGTACCTCGCGTGTATAATATTAGCATATGAAATAACAGTAACACCAAAATATATCTGTTGCTTAAAAGAAGTTGTCCACTGAACGTTTTGAAGTGGTTTCTAAAATACTTACTAGGCCTAATAGAACATGGATAAGAATTCCAATGGATACCAATTCCAATAAAAAGAACGTGATTCCGCCCGGGCTCGAACCGGGGACCTTCTGCGTGTTAGGCAGATGTGATAACCGCTACACTACGGAATCTGTTGCTTTCTGATGAGTTAGTATTTTTCCAGTCGAAATTTCTAAAACAGTAATGGATTATTAAAATAACAATAGGCCGGGTACCTCGCTTGTATAATATTAGCATATGAAATAACAGTAACACCAAAATATTACTGTTGGTTAAAATAAGTTGTCCATTGAACATTGAAGTGGTTTCTAAAATACTTACTAAGTCTAATAGAACATGGATACCAATTCCAATAAAAAGAACGTGATTCTGCCCGGGCTCGAACCGGGGACCTTCTGCGTGTTAGGCAGATGTGATAACCGCTACACTACGGAATCTGTTGCTTGCTGTATGAGTTAGTATTTTTCCAGTCGAAATTTCTAAAACAGTAATGGATTATTAAAATAACAATAGGCCGGGTACCTCGCTTGTATAATATTAGCATATGAAATAACAGTAACACCAAAATATTACTGTTGGTTAAAATAAGTTGTCCATTGAAAGTTTTGAAGTTGTTTCTGAAATACTTACTAAGCCTAATAGAACATGGATACCAATAAAAAGAACGTGATTCCGCCCGGGCTCGAACCGGGGACCTTCTGCGTGTTAGGCAGATGTGATAACCGCTACACTACGGAATCTGTTGCTTGCTGATGAGTTAGTATTCTTCCAGTCGAAATTTCTAAAACAGTAATGCATTATTAAAATAACAATAGGCCGCCGGGTACCTCGCGTGTATAATATTAGCATATGAAATAACAGTAACACCAAAATATTACTGTTGGTTAAAATAAG